TTGGCTTGGTATGAACTTGGAATACACTGAGCTCCTTCTTGAGTCTGAGTAGGCATTTGCAGGAAATCCAGACTGAGATGTCACAGGAATGGTTAGGAATGAGCTTCTCTTCTTTGCAGGAGGAAATGTCCACAGGAACCAGCATGGACTTAGCTCATCCTGACCTGGGCAGACCCCAAGTTCTATGGGCTGGATGGGAAGGCAATAACCCAAAAGGTACAACTAGTGTGCCAATTCTACCTATGTTCCCTGATGGAGCCCATAAGGTAAGACCTACCCCTTGGGCCTGCAAGTTTTTCTCTGGAGTAGGTATTCCACAATGGCAAGCTTTAGAGGAAATAATTGCATTTGGGTCAGGACAGGAAGGCCTATGTTGTAGTGAAACTCTTCCTTCTTAGAACCTGGTATTAGGTGCTGGGGCCTGGGGTGCAGCAATGCTTGGCTGGAGACATAAACTGCACCAGCTTCCTGGAGGCACGTTGGCAACTAAACAGAGGGGTATCCCTGTTAAGGAACTCTAGGACCCTTGGAAGATCCCGTTTAGGAAGCAGTTGGATGTCTCCATTTGTTTTTCATCTGCTTTTAGTCACCCCAAAACCTTTAGTAATTCTCTGGTCTATGTAACAGTCTGCCCTTACCCACACCATGGAGAATTAAGCAGTTGCTCCTTTTTAAGAATGAACAGAGAGGTGTGACAACCACAGCAGACACCAGGGGGCGCGGTAGTGCCCTGGAGCACTTCCGGCCCAGGCAGTATGAATGGAAGAGTATGGCTAAGAGCAGGGGCATATGCAGGGGAATCTTGGAGTGGGACTGGAGGGGCTCTTCTGTTTCTGTGCTGGTCACAAGGGGCTCTGGTCATCAGAAAGGGGTACTATACCAGGCACTGGCACAGTAGCACATACCTTTAATCCCTGCAGCTCAGGAGGCAAGAGGATCCTGAGTTCAAAGCCAGCCTCAGCAAAAGACACTAAGTAATTCAGTGAGACTCTGGTTCTAAATAAAATACAAAATAGGGCTGGGGATGTGGCTCAGTGGTTGAGTGTCCCTGAGTTAAATCCCCAGTACCCACCCCTCCCCTGCCCCCCCCCCAAATGGAATAATTAGGATACTATGACTTAAATTGAAACTCACTGGCTACTAAGACCTGAGCCAGTATTTTTCCAGAGTCACAGTACTCAGGCGTATCTACAAGCCATCTCCTCTTTTTGTTTTGCTGGTGGTTTGACGTAAAAACAGCTTAGAAACCTAAATGTTAAAAGGGCCCAAGCACAGATCATCCTCACCATGGCAGAAAGGTGGGGTTTTTTTAGAATGTAAGTCATGGAGAAGATTCTGTTAGTGCCCCCACTGTCTGTTTGTCTCTGAAAATGCCTTAAGATTATATTGAGTGTGTCTTCTCTTTTACATTTTTCTATTTTAAAGCAAATATGAGACATTATGTTATTTCATCCCCACATAATTCCACATGCATTTTTTAAAAAAGAACATTTTCCTTAATTAACTCTATGCCATTATCATCTCTAACAAAATGATCAGAAATCTTTGATATCATCTAATATCAAGCCTATATTCAAATTTACCTGATTAAGATAGTTTCTTAACATCATCTTCTTATAAATTATCCTATTTAAAAACTATCATCCTATTTTAAAAGACTATCATCCTATTAAAAAAACAGCTATAAAATAATAAGCATTTTTATGTCACCAAAGGCTTTCATGGCCTTTTTTTTTTAACCTGTTAATTTGGCAAGGAATATTCAGGAGCACAGATTATTAGTCTTGGGTCTCAGTGTTAGCGGTATTTATTCCTCTAATTCATGTATTCCTGAGGGATGCATTCAATCAGCATAGCTTCCACAACATCCTCCTTTGGCTTAATAAATGCACCAATTAGGCTAGTGACCTGCTGGGTTTTCCAAGGCTTTTGCAATGTGAAAACTGCCCTTCCTGTGAATTCTCCATGCCATCATCTGGGTGGGGAAATGGAATGATGCTGCAGGGCTGGGGTGAATGACCTGCACACAAGGCTAAAGGGGGCACTGAACTGGCAGGGACAGGGAGCAGAGCTCAGAGAAGAGGAGTAGGGAAATTACCAGAGGCAAAGTCTGTGGAGCACAGAGTAGAATTCATCCCACTTTCTGCCATTAAACAAAAGAAAGGGGAAAACACAAAACAAGACAAACAGAATAACACATGTTCACCTTGAAAATGTAATGAAAGTACAATGAATCATGTTTTCTTACTATCCAGATTGAACCACTGTTAACCTATTGGTTTTAACCCAACTTTTAAAAATGTATACATATTTTACAAAAGCCTGGCATTTATACAACATCATGTTGTGTAATTTGTTTTATCCTTCCACTGGGCGCGTATTAGGAAAATTTCCACTTGTCACTAAATATGTATCCAAGCAGGTTTTTAATTGTTGCACAGTATCCTAACTTATGGGTATACCACATATTTAGATTGCTTATAATTTATTGCCATTATTTTTTAAAATGCTACCATGAATATTCTTGTACCTAAATCTGTGAATATGTCTCTGCATATTTCTTTATGATAAATCCTATGAAGTAGAATTACCAGGTGGAAAGATCAGAACATGTTCTAAACCACCTTCCAGAAAGTTTGTTCCAATTTTGATGGGAAATGAAAGTGTATGAATTTTCCCACATCATTGTCAATACTAGTACTGCCACTTTTTTCCTTTAATCTGACAATTTTAAACATGAAAGTGGAACCATTTTCCCTATTCTGCTTTTGCTCATATCCCTGGAATCTCTGACCATTTCATTGTCACTACTCAAAAGAATGAGTAGTGGTTTTTCTTTCTCTTTAGCTCCTGACTAGCTACTTGGGATTTGGTAAAGGATAGGTATAGAACCTACCAGAATCTGTGCTATGGCTTTGAAAAACAGCTGAGCTATGTCACTAAAATACTGAGAATTATAATTTATTTCCCTAGATTATTTACAAAGCTGAGCTATACACAAAACAGCCAGCCTGAAATACATATCACTAAGTGATTCTCAACAGCCCATATTTTCAAACAGCCAACATTATAGAACTAGTATATTCATACATGTATTTTTACCTTTTCTTCTAGAACCTGGATTACTACATGAGTTTTGAGTTTGCTGCTTAATTTTGGATTAACTTTCTTTACTTTCCCAATAGAAACAAGAATTAAATGATGTCACTCATCAGGCAGCTTTTGAATCTTGTGCAAAATATGTAAAAGTATGCAAAATATCTTATATGCGTACAATTGTACGCATATAAGGAGAGAATCCAAGATTCTCATTTTGCTCTTGAAAGAGTACAAAAAGAAAAAAAAGATTAAGAATCTTTGATATGGGGAAAATTTCTAAGGTGTTATAACTGCAGTGCCTACAGGAACCAATCAGCAAATATAAAAGAGAGAAGTGGACAGGGTGTTAGGGAATATGGAATGGTGGGGACTGCGGCATCCTCAAATGTATTTCCTTCAATTAAATGGAACCACTGTCTCTTGGCTCTTGATGGCTGTTGGTGTGTATGAATGGTGTATCCAGATCTTAATTTTTTTTCCAGAAAAAGCCAGAAATCTGTATATTTATACAAAATTCTTCCAAATTTAAATGCTTCCAATAATACGAAAATAAAAATCATGTGGGAGAAACAACTAATATGCTGATTTGTTCCTGAGGCTGTGAGGCTTGAAAGAACTCAGGCATTTCAAAACATAATTAAATATATAAATAAAGATAATTAAATGTTCTCTTTAGGTTTCTCATATGCTGAGAACACCAAGACCATTTATGAACAAAGCTCCCAAGGGACTCGAATCTGACTGGAGTTTTGCTCTTGTGAAGTTCATTGGTCAAATGTGGCAGCTTTTCAAACAATGCAATTACTGAATGCAGCAGATTCCTCCCTTCCTCCTGGCCAATGTTTTGGACAAGATCAGATCTTTTCAATGGCAGTGGAGAAAAGTGTTCTAGAAGAGGACGTACAAGTCTCCTAATTGCATGGTTACATAAACCTTGATTTTGAAGCTGACAACAGAAGTGACTAATGTCATGCCACATTTTCTCAACTGCCAGAATTGAGATAAGTACAAGCAGTGATGGAATGCATATAGCAGCATACCATTTCCAGATAAATGGCATTTTTGTCAATCAGGTTAGTCTCTATCTAGATAAAGAGATACATTGCAGGATTATATTATAGGATTCCTTCTCTTTGTTCGTAAATGGCCTTGATGTTCTTAGCTTATTAGAAACCTAAAGAGACCATTTAATAATCTTTATTTATGTATTCAATTATGGTTTGGAATTCCTTCTCTTTGAAGAAATCCTACAATATAATGACCAATAAGAGAAAAGTCATTTTCAGATCCAACTGTGTCACAAGTTTAAAAATGCTGGCCTTGTAAAGTATGGTACAAACCCATACTTAGGTCTTTTCCACAGTACTTGGCTGCTGGCCCCCTGGCAAATTTGCAGGGCAGGTATGTAGCAAATTCTGAGTCCTGTGGAGGAGCAGAAGTAGGCGAGGAGTAGGGAAGAGAGGGACCCTAAAGGCAGCTGCTGAGAGAGCTCAGCTGCAGCTGGGAAACAAATGAGTGAATTACTGAAAACATGATCAAAATTGACAACCACATTTTCCCCGAGGACACTAGCTAACATTTCAGGGACCAAATATGCCTTTTCCCCACTTCTGTGCCCCAGATGGAGTTTTATCTACAATATATTTGAAATAGCATCCCCCTCACAAGACATCATTTGTTGAACAAATGAAGATTAGAGACAGTGCACCATGACAAAACCATACCACTCTGACACCAAGGAAATGTTTTCACCTAAGCAAATATACACTTTCCAAGTGAGGAGTGTATATGAGTGTGTGATTTGTGTGATGCCTCTAATGCATTCCAATTTTCCATAATTAGAAAAGGCCAACATAGATTCTGCTGGACTCCTTAAAGAATCACAGAGAACATCAAGGTACCTGTAATCATGCTGGATATAATTAATGGCAAAATGATGAGTTTCAGCATCCTCATTAGAATTTCTCCAGGAAAAGCAAAGTAGAATTTCTCCAGATTCGAGAGCTTGCTGTATTCTCGAACTAAGACTCCTATGGCAATGCCTAAGAAAAACAAGGAAAAAAAGAGGAACATTGCTGAGTTCTCCCATCTACATTTTTAATGGGAAAATATCCCCCAAACTGCAAACTTTAATGGCAAGAAGACATCACTCATGAGTCTGTAAAATTTAGACTTTTAAAAAAATGTATTTTAAAAGGAAATAAGTTGAAGGTAAACATTAGTCGATTAATCTGTAAAAAAATAATCTCACATAAGAGCTTTGGTTTGCATTTCTTTCCCATCAATTCTATGTATAATAATCACAAAATTGTGGAAAAGAAAGTAATCCACCATCTTAGAAAAACCAGTATAACTTTTATTTTTACAAACCACCTTATTCTATTTATCAGCAGAGACATTTTACATATTTCATAGCTTGCATATCCACTTGTATTTTCTCATAGTTTTGTTATAAGCACTTTTAATGATGAATTTTTGTGATGCTTTTCTGTTAATGCAACTTTTGTAATTTCAATAGCAAATTAATATTATATTGATTTGACATTTATTATATTACTGAACAACTATGTTTTCATTGGTTTGCATTCTGTCCAGTTATTTCTAAGTAATGATATGCTCCAGTTTATCCAATCAAGAGCCATTTTATGAAGTTTGTGATCTTGAGTTCTTATACATACATTGACTACAGGGGTACATTCACTTTTAAGAAATGTTATATATTCCCTGAAATTTTGCCTTAACAAGATGCTTATATGAAGTGTACAGGAAACAATTTAATGACAACTTTGATAACTAAACTCACAAAATTTCAATATCCTCCTCATCATATTTCAAACTGTTCTAAATCCTTGTACCTCTCCCCACAATACACACATATATACTTTTTTAAAACCACAAAATAAATAAATTGGGACGACTCATATCTTTTTTCTTTCACTAACCTCTGATGAGTGATGCTAATTGAAAATGAAGTGATTAAATGGCATGAAAAGTCAAAGTGGATATAACTGGGTATGCAAATTCATAAACTCAAATTATCAGCTGGTGAAAATTTGACTGTAGGACAATGAAAAGAAATATGAATTATAATCAATATAAGAATTTCCATTTAATTTCAGGTATTCCTCTTTTACCCACTAGTAGACCAAATACATGAACCTCTCACTTGGTGCATTTTGTGTTTTAAATCTATCCTTAATTTTGTTTTCCTACATATTCTATCTTTTCCTTGATCTCTTTATTTGTGTATATAATACAGAATGCATTTCTGGTCATAAATGTTTCCCAAATTGTAGCTAAGACAAAGAACAAATCCATTACCTCTCTAATTTAGTTCATATATCAAAACCTACTGTTAGAAACTCATGAGTGGTTAAGATGATTCAAAATGTTTTAAGTAAACTAAAAAAGGCATTATATACTTCTTTCCTGCTTTATTAATTGTCTGGGTTCAATTGTTCTATATGCATATACTTATGCCATAAAGATAATCCATAATGCTCAAAGCTGTTTTTTTTTTTTTAATTCTCTCTCATGCTATTTATATTGCTTCAAATAAATTTTTGGCTTGAATGTCAAAGAAACTTCAATAATGTAAAAATAAAGATGTGTTTGTGTTTAAAAAAAAAAAAAACAGCCACAAAAGCCCTATGTTGTGCCCAACCTCAGGGTTTGTATTCCCAAGGATGAACTGCCTCTACCCATCTCCATCCAAATGAATGCAGTGTGCTTAGAAAGAAAAGTACTTACTATTTTTTTCAGACTTCAGTGAAATATGGGTTTTTATGGGAGAAACAAAAGAGTTATAACTTGGATTAGTTTACAAACAATCAAGGGCAAACTGCAAGGTGAAATGCGTTATTGTATGTGGCAGTTAAAACTTTCTATTAAGCTTGTTCTTGAAGGTCACTGTTACAAATTGTACTCCAACATTTCTCTATTTTACTGAAAAGAATTAGAAATGCCAGTCAAGTTAGGAGGTTTATAGATGTTGCCCCGAGATACTCAAGTACCTGAGGTGTTTGGTGAATGCCCTCAACTGGGACCAATCAAATTTGGAAATATCAGATTCGGGTCAGGGTGAGGATAATCCCTGGGAGATCTTCGGGTCCCTAGACCAGGTCAGGATCTCCAGGACACATCCCCTCCCTACCCATTACAGAGTTGGAACCTTGGGCTGGATTAAGGTGCATGGAGAAGGTTCAAAAGATAAAGCTTGCTGGGAATAACTCCTCTCCAAAGGGTGTGCAGGTTAGGCCTCCCTGAGAGGGCAATGCCCACCTGAGAGAGGTAAAGGTCAATAGTCTCCTTGAATGGTAGAGTACCATAGAGGCCTTTGGCAAGGCCAGTGAGGAATTCCCCAGTGGTAAGGTAGTAGCTTAGAACACTGTACCCCTAGCAAGGGACTCAAGGACACCGTTTTTGAGCTTCTCTTCCCTACACAGGCAAGATTATCCCAAGCAGGTAGAGAGATAGTGTGGAAAGAATACTGGTGTTAGATGAGCATGCTGGGATTTGGGTTCCACCAATTGTGAGGCATGTAAGCAGGGCCATAAATTTTAAGTCCTCTTATTAAGTGGTGGGGAAAAGGTTAAGTTAGTGACCTTCAGAGATCCCTCTGATGCCCAAGAGGCTATGAGCACCTCTGAGCCTCCACTTTAAAATAGGGGTCACAGGATCTCAGTTCCAAGAAAGCTGTCCACACTTTCTCCAGGTTTTATGCTAAATATAAATATGTTAGTAACACAGAGGAGAAAGAAACACAAGAAGAAAACAATCAACTAGGGATTCTTAAGTTCAAAGACCCAAGTTTAAAAGAGAAGATACCCAGAATGTCATCTATTTATGTCTCTATTGTGTGAGAAAACAACTGCAAGTCCCACAGACTTGTCCCCAGGGTTCTGGGATGATTTGCTTTCTAAGTTTATAAAAAAATTATTATTCAGGAAGCAATACTAGAAATCACAAGGAGAAAAAAAGCCATATATCAGTACATCAGCCGGTCTTCCTCTCTGTTTTCTCCAGGTCCTCACCAGTCCTTGTTCTCAGGAGCTTACACTTTTTAGAGTTATAAAATTAACCTGGGGATAGTAGCTGAATTGCATTTGATTTAGATTTATGAAAGCAGCATTGTTACTGTTTGAGGGGACGTGAAGGACAGAGATTAGAATCTTTTGTGTGTTTTTTTCCCCACTAGTTTCCCATTACACAAATTAATTTTGGATTGATTAAATAAGAATTATTGACAAAGGTAAATATTTTAAATTTTCACTGAAATAGTTATCAGGCCATGCCACATGCTAGGCTCTATAGTAAGCAATTAACCATGTGCCCTTTTGGCCTCCTGGAGCTACTCTGAGATGAACATTAATGGTGAGGAAAAAAAGCATAAAAAGACACTTCCTATAATGACAATGTGTATATGCTGGATAAATGGAAGGATGGTTTCTCTATAATGCCCTTACACTGCAATATATCTGGACCTTTTTCTCATCCTTTTCTTGCTCTCCAAAGATCTGAGTAGCTCCACCAATGCAAGCCTTTCTTAGAAGTATATCTCAAAAACCAGATGCTTGGGTTTGTAAAACTCTTATTTTTTTTTTCAAATTTTTTAAAAATGTATTTACTATACTAGCAATACTAGAATAGCTCTACTAGAAATTTTTAAAAAGTATAAAAAAATTCACCCCAAACTACCAACTCACTTGAATACCTGCAAAGTGAAATTGTTTTTATTTTACATATTCTATTACAGTTAACCATAATATAATGGTGAACACAAATGAGCACATTTGTGTTCCTATCAGGAGCTGCACTAAACACCACAAATGAATTATCATATTATCTCTTGTCATCTTTAATGGCTATATCATCATGGAGTTTTTGGTATTTTTTATTGAGATAAAATTCATATAACACAATATTTTCCATTTAAAGTGTGCAATTCAGTGGTTTTATGTATATTCACAATGTTGTAGAACCACTGCCAATGTTTAATTCTAGAACACTTCTATCACCCCAAAAAGAAACCCAAACCTGTCAGGAGTCGCTGCTCATCACCTTCTCCCTCCTGAGGCCCCTAGAAACCACTAATTTACTGTCTGTCTCCACAGATTCCTGCTCTGGCAGTTCACAGAAATGGATTCATACAATATGTGGTTGGTTGTCTCAGTTCTTTCTCTTAGCATGTTTTCTAGAGTCACACACGGTACAGAATGTAAAGGGGGGTTATAAAGCATTTTTCACTTAACTTGATATCATGAACATTTCCCAATATTGAACATTTTTACTGTTGGTAAGTGTTGAGTATTACAAGTTTGTATAGACTTGCTTATTTACCATCAACCAACTGTTAGACATTCAATCCTAGAAAAATTTCCTGAACGTTGCTGACTTTTCCTAACAACCAAAGACTGTGATGCAAAGCCTTAATGTGATGCAAAGCCTTAATATTATCATACATGTCCAGACTTCAGGGAAGAAGGCACACTGAACACATTCTTTGTAGTATCTGAATTCAAGAAAAAGCAATAACAAATTAACATTTATTAATGCCAATTACATACCAAGCACTACATTGAGTGCTAGAGGATCTGAAAAGCATGAGTTAAAAAGGAGTTCAACCTTGTTGTTATTGCAATAATAAATGTTTTCCTTCATGGATAACTCTGTCCACTATCAACAGGAAATGTGGTTTGCACTGTTTTGTGAATAGCTGTGACTGCTTCCATTGAGTCATCTCTCCTGGTGCCTACCACCTACAATTAATTCAGTCTGACTCAAGAATAAAGTTGATCTTGGTGAGGATCTCATGGGTTTCTCTGGGATAATGGTTTGGGACCACAGAAAAAACAGTTTCTGTTTGGCACAATACTGAGCTAAACCAGCATCACCATGCCTTAAAGAGTGACTGCTTCTCCTCCTAGCACAGCTGATCCTGAAGTAACTTTTGGAATCAAAGGTTACACTTTTTTTCTGCACCATTACTATACCAAGTGCCCTTAGTTATGCTTCCAATGCTTCAAAAAACTCATGGGCCACA